TCAAAATACTTTTTTAAAAATTGACCCAACACTGATGTAATAATATAAGAATTGAATTTTAATTTTCATGTAGGTGCATTGATGGGAATATGTGTGCCATCAATGCATCCAACCACATTTGGAAATCCTGAAGGGGATTCTAATTATTAGTTTATTTCCAGAGGTCACAGCAAGATGTTATTAACTGATCATCATTTTTCAGATTAGCCTTACTGAAACGAATTCAATACCACTAACCTGCAATCCTGTGAAACTCCTCTTTAATGGCTCTGAGGGGTTTGTGCCCAGGAAACACAACAAAAATTCACAGAAAGCGCTTGAGGGCGAGGCACACTTTCCGAACTATTCTACATACAGTGGCCTTACTAATGTGCTCTGCATCCCCGATGTTATAAAGAAAACTGCCGTTTGCAACAAATCGTAACGCAACACAAAGCATCTGCTCGGATGTAAGAGCACGGCCACGATGGGTGATGTGTCTGATGTATGGGTGGATAAGATTATTGATATATGTTATGGACTCTCTAGAAAAACGGTACCGCTCAAATAAAAATACATGGGGATATGACAAAAAATCAACTCGTGCCCTCAATATCCTCTCCCGACGTAAATGCAATTCCCTGAAAATTAATACAGCGTCCTCATCTACAGGATCCTCTATGAATGGACACGCCATTTTGGTCTCTGCGTGACGGAAACGTGTGCAATCTATGAATGTACTGAAAGATTAAATGAGGTATTAAACACCTTTCACTTTAAAAAGGGGCGGAGACCCGGAGGAAACTCTGAGTTTCCCGAACAAAACCTGCTCCCAACCAGGTTAGGTTCACAGAGTAAGTTGCCATAGTAACTGACTCTGAGTTTAGATTACCTCTCTTTGTGAAACGGGTTTAACTTACCCCGCTTCACGGGTTTAAGTTACCTCCGTTTCTGAAACCGAAAACTCCGAGTTGCCCTCATTTCGGGGTTAACAAACTCTGAGTTTCGACAAAACCGCCTTCTTGAAATAGGCCCCGGGTGTCATTGTTTCCTATTACCCACACATGGGACCGTCTCGTTGCAGAGAAACAAGTTCAGGGCTCCCATTGATTTAGCGTTATGGGGAGTTAAAA